TATGCCTGTAATAGACGTCCCCTTTTCTCGTGTTGCCATGGATATTGTTGGCCCATTGGAGAGAAGTGGTTCAGGGCATAGGTACATTCTAGTGATTTGTGACTATGCAACAAGGTATCCTGAAGCTTTCCCATTGAGAAGGGTCAAAGCCCGCCAAATAGCTAATTGTCTGATACAGATGTTTTCAAGGGTGGGTATTCCCAAAGAAATCTTGACAGACCAAGGCTCAAACTTCACTTCCAACCTGTTGAAAGAAGTCTACAAACTTCTGGGAATTACCGGAATCAAAACGAGCCCTTATCATCCACAAACTGATGGACTTGTTGAGAGGTTTAATAAAACCCTGAAATCAATGCTGAGGAGGTTCGTAAGAGAATCGGGAAAAGACTGGGACCAATGGCTTCCATTTTTGCTTTTCGCCTATAGAGAGGTACCACAAGCATCAACTGGATTTTCTCCGTTTCAGCTCTTGTACGGCCATAATGTCAGAGGTCCACTGGATGTACTTCGGGAAGCTTGGGAGGAAGCTAGCCCTGAAAAACAGTGCTCTTCCCTCTCTTATGTGTTGAAAATGAGGGACAAGCTTGAACAGTTTCAGGAACTGGCTCATTGTCACCTAGTAAGTGCCCAGCGACGTCAAAAACAGAACTATGATAAGACAGCTCGCAGGAGGACCTTTAAAGAAGGACAAAAAGTGTTGCTCCTTTTGCCAACCACTGAAAGCAGTCTCTTAGCCAAATGGCAGGGGCCATTTGTGATAACAGGAAAGCAGGTCCTGTCACTTATGAGCTCAACATGCCGAATCGTCGGAAAAAGCAACAGGTGTTTCATGTCAACATGTTGAGGGAGTGGATTGAGAAGCCAGAGCAATCACTTCAGTTGTGGGCTCGTGTTGTACTGCAGGAAGAAGAGCCTCAAGAGCAATTCTTTCCCACCAGTACTGAAGAAAAGCTATTTCCGGATTTGAGCCATCTATCACCAGAACAGCAGGAGGAGCTCGCGGCCATAATGCCACAGGAGCTTTTCAGCACAAAGCCAGGCTACACCCATCTTATTCAGCATGACATACACCTGCGTTGTTCGAATCAACCACCCATCAGGGATACCACCTCCAGAGTTCCAGCAAAGCTAATGCCAGCATTGAAACAGGAGGTGGAAGAAATGCTTGCAACAGGGATTATAGAGCCATCTAGAGGTGAGTGGTGTAGCCCTGTGGTACTCGTCCCCAAGAAAAATGATGCAAGACAGAGATTTTGTGTTGACTTCTCAAAACTTAATGCTGTCTCTGCTTTTGATGCATATCCTATGCCAAGAGTGGATGAATTGATTGAGCGCTTGGGTAATGCCAAGTACCTCACAACACTCGACCTTTGTAAAGGTTATTGGCAAGTCCCCCTAACAGAGTCCTCAAGGGATTTAACTACATTCAGGGTTCCCAGCGGACTTTATCGTTTCAGAACTATGCCTTTCGGATTACATGGAGCTCCAGCCACGTTCCAGAGGCTGGTGGACTTGGTTCTGAAAGGAGCTGATGGCTATGCAGCAGCGTATATTGACGACATTGTGGTGTTCAGCGAGACATGGGAGGACCATGTGAAACATCTGGCTGATGTCCTGCAACGCATCAGAACAGCTGGACTAGTCATCAACCCTGGGAAATGCCACATTGCACAGACCGAGGTGGAGTACCTGGGATACGTCATTGGGGGTGGGGTCATCCGCCCTCAGGTGAGTAAGGTCGAGAACCTTGCCTCTTGTCCTCCTCCGACTACAAAGAAAAAGTTGAGATCCTTCCTGGGTTTAGCTGGCTGGTATCGTCGTTTCATCCCTAATTTCTCTACCAGATCAGCTATTCTTAGTGATTTAACTTGTAAATCATGCCCCAACAAAATTAAATGGACTCCAGAGTGTGAGGCTGCATTCATGGATTTGAAAAACTGTTTGTGTAATGAGCCTGTGTTGCAGTGTCCAGACTTTACGTGCCCGTTTATTGTACAGACTGATGCTTCAGGAGTTGGGCTGGGAGCTGTGTTGCTGCAAGGTGATGGAGAGGACCAAAGACCTGTGCAGTACATAAGCCGTAAGCTCTTCCCCAGAGAAATGAAGTATTCCACAATTGAAAAAGAAGCTTTGGCAATAAAATGGGCTTTGGACACTCTGAGATACTATCTACTGGGAGGTGAATTTGTGCTGGAAACCGATCATCGAGCTTTACAGTGGATGAGCAGAATGAGAGACACCAACGCAAGAATCACGAGGTGGTATCTTTCACTACAGCCATATTGTTTTAAGATTCGGTATAGAGCGGGGAAAAAGAATGTTGTGGCAGACTTTCTTTCCCGTTCGTATGAAGAGTAACGGACTTAAGGGGGGGGGAATGTGACAAAGTGGCTAGGACAGAATTCATTTGCCATTTGTCACTTGCATATATTGTTATTTTGTGTTATGTTATCCCATAGTCTATCATAATGCTTTAATGTAAACACAGCACATGTAACCTTAGCTCTACATACTATCCCGGGTCTGTTTGTGGTAGCATTGGTTATATTTATGTCATCAGTGCAAATGTACTTAAAGCTAAATGTCACTTCATCATTAATTGATTTGAATCTTTCATTTGTTTATGTAGTTTGGTTATACTTACCATTGTGTGTTCCTTAGGACAGGTCCTATGTGTAAAGCAGGTATGTGGGAAGAGCCGCCCCAGTACTTCCTGATTTTATAGGATATGATGTCACTGATCATGTCAATTGGGTGTAACCAAATGAAGGGGTGTTTATTTTGTGTAAAATTGTTTATTTCATTTAAAATAACCTCATGAATCAGATTAGGTGAAGAGATTGACTTTTCAAACTGTTTAGTTGGGTGAATGAGTTTGTTAAGTGGAAAAATGATTTTATTCCTGTTTCTTTGTCTAGACCGTGTTATTTAGTCTACCCTGTTTTCCCAATGTAGAGGTTAATGAGATCCAGGTGTGAGTAGGAATTCTATATAAAGCAGGTGAGATTTTGACTCAGGGCTTCTTATGTTTTTTGAGATAATTGTTGAAGGGCGACGCCAGAAAATAAAGAACACTTAAAAGAAACTTGAACGGTCTGCAGATGCTGTCTTCCTATCACCTTTCATGCTGCTTATGTTATGCTACTTCACAACTACTGATTTTATCTACTGTTCTGATTTTATCTGTTTTGATTTTATATACTGTTGTTTGTTTGTTTGTTTGTTAATTAGTTAGTTAGTTTATTTGCTTGTTTTAATCAATTTTAAATCATGCTTTTTATTTGTTCTTGTTTCTAATGTCTCTGTAAAGCACTTTGAATCACCTTGTTGTTGAATTGTGCTATACAAATAAACTTGCCTTGCCTTGCCTTGCCTTTTTCCATTGTTTAAGCACTGCTTCCAGCCAAGAGTGATACCATATATGCCCTATGGCTGCAGAAAAGGCTAACATTGTTATCTTTCTACAAAAAAAACAGCTGAACATGAGAAGGTTTTGGACCAATTTTGTGTTCTCCATTCTTTAAGCACCAGTTTGAGTACTGTTTAAGCACTGGTACAGTTTCAAAAGTACCAGTTTGGTACTGGTATCGGATAGGGCTGCACGATTCTGCATAAAATGAGAATCACAATTTTTTTTCCTTAGAATTGAGATCACGATTCTCTCACGATTTTCTTTTCCAATATAAATATTTATTGCACTTATTAACTGCACATCAACTTCGTAACAGTTGAGACTGAACATAAAAACAATATATAAACATAAAAACAACAAATGTCTCGCAAAATGTTGCCGCAAAATGTTGTACTGCTTGAAATTCCGTCTCCACCGTTGCTCAACACTGCGTGTATAGAGCAGGTAGTGCAACAATAGAAAAATAGTTGTGGGACAGCACTGTGTAGCGTTTGTCTAGGGCGTTGATCATTTTCCTAAATCTCTCATTTTGCACAGTGTTGATGGGAGCCATATCTTTGGTCAGGTGATAAGTAATGGCCTCTGTAATTTCTTTGTGCCTGCGGGAGTTCGACGGGTATAGGGAAGTGCTGTATAAGGTTCCCGTTATTGATGTTTGAGTGGTTGACCGGGATGGATTTTCTCCTGTCACTTTCTTGTCTTCCCTGACGTGCTCTCCGATGTTTTTTCCCTACTAATTTTAGCATCACACGGCACAGCTTCTGTATCACGTGGTATAAGACTCCGCCCTTGTCATTTGTTGAGCAGGAAGAGTGAGCGCTTGTTTTCATGCAGATTACGTCCTGGATCAAAATGCGGTACAGTCGTCGTCTTTTTTTTTCTTTTTTTTTTAAATCGTTGTCATTTGGAAATGAGATCGCACAAAAGTATGAATCAAGATCACGATTTTCTAACGATTAATCGTGCAGCCCTAGTATTGGATAGAACCTAAACGATACCCATCCCTACATACAACCACCCTTTATCTTCCCATATGGAAAAGAAATAGTAAAAAATTATATGATTTACTCATGAAAGTGGCCACTTTCTCATTACTTTCATACATTGTTTTAGTAAGTATCCAAAAAATAGAAGTTTCATTTATATAATTTTCAAGGGGTCTTATATCTGTTTTCACTCTTGTATGCTTTTCATACAAGTTTCACACAAGACGGATACAAACTTTATAAGATTTATATATATCCTTTCCATGTGGGTTGTCTGGGTGGAGTAGGTGGAATCTAATGAGGTGCTTCAGGTGGTACTGCTACCATTGAGTGTGAGCCGGACTTGTGGATCTATAGAAGTCCATATATACAGGGTGTAGCATCCACTGGGTAAAGGCAGTGATATGCAGGGGGGTCAGTGGCTTTTTCCCTTTCAGGTTCTTGTGACAACTGATGACTTTCTTGTTGTAGCTGTTTCTCAGTTTCCACATTGAAGTTTCATAGGTATTGTTGTCACTGAGGAGTTTAGTCGTGTTTATTTGCTCTGCTTTTTTAAAAAAAATTTTATCAGGGATAAAATACATATACTTTTTGTGTCCCAGCTGAGTAACAGGAGAAGAGTCTGGTGGAGCAACAGAGGAACAATTTCAGCCATTTGGACTCAGCTCAGCCACTACAGAGGAAAAAATGACTTCAACACAGAAGGTGAGAAAAATATCACAGTTACACTGTTATTGAAACTGCACAGCTTGTTGGTTTTTAAAAACCAACTCAGATGTTACAAGAAGATACAAACATAATTTTTATCGGCACACATTGAAACAACAATATCAAAAATTGATTCAATTTTTTATGAGTAAAATATTTTCTCCACTTATCAATATTTCTTCAATATGTATTTTTCATTACGACTGTCATTGTAGCACATCATTCAAATGTGATACTATGACCAGAAGGTGGTGGAAACACACCTACAATGTGTTTGTTGACATGTTTGATTCAACCAATGGAGGGAGCTACAGTTTGTTCCACGACTGCATTTCACTCACTGCCTCTGTTTGTATCTCTGTCACTGCAGGACCAACATGGAGCGAGAAGTCAGCGCTCTCAGGAGGCCGACAAACCTCACAGAAGAAAAGGAGAGAAAACCTACAGCTGTGATGAGTGTGGGAAGGATTTTAGCCGGGGTGGAGACTTGAAAAGACACCAAGTCATCCACAGTGGATTTAAACCTTACAGTTGCGACTTGTGTGGAAAGTCTTTTACCCGGGCTGAAAGCTTAAAAACACACCAACTCATCCACAGTGGAGTTAAACCTTACAGCTGTGACTTGTGTGGAAAGTCTTTTACCCGGGCTGGAAGCTTAAAAACACACCAACTCATCCACAGTGGATTTAAACCATACAGCTGCGACTTGTGTGGACAGTCTTTTACCCAGGCTGGAGACTTAAAAAAACACCAAATCATCCACAGTGGATTTAAACCTTACAGCTGCGACATCTGTGGAAAGTCTTTTACCCGGGCTGAAAGCTTAAAAACACACCAACTCATCCACAGTGGAGTTAAACCTTACAGCTGCGACTTGTGTGGAAAGTCTTTTACCCAGGCTGGAGACTTAAAAAAACACCAACTCATCCACAGTGGAGTTAAACCTTACAGCTGCGACTTGTGTGGACAGTCTTTTACCCAGGCTGGAAACTTAAAAAAACACCACCTCATCCACAGTGGATTTAAACCTTACAGCTGCGACTTGTGTGGAAAGGATTTTACCCAGGCTGGAGACTTAAAAAAACACCAAATCATCCACAGTGGAGTTAAACCTTACAGCTGTGACTTGTGTGGAAAGTCTTTTACCCACGCTGGAAGCTTAAAAACACACCAACTCATCCACAGTGGAGTTAAACCTTACAGCTGCGACTTGTGTGGAAAGTCTTTTACCCGGGCTGAAAGCTTAAAAACACACCAACTCATCCACAGTGGATTTAAACCTTACAGCTGTGACTTGTGTGGAAAGTCTTTTACCCGGGCTGGAAGCTTAAAAACACACCAACTCATCCACAGTGGATTTAAACCTTACAGCTGCGACTTGTGTGGAAAGTCTTTTACCCACGCTGGAAGCTTAAAAACACACCAAATCATCCACAGTGGAGTTAAAACGTACAGCTGTGACTTGTGTGGAAAGTCTTTTACGTAGCATTTGGGCTTAAAAAAAAAAACACCAACTCATCCACATTGTAGTTAAAGCACACTACTGTGACTTGTGTGGTAAAGCTTTTGCTCAAAGTCGAAACTTACAGAAGCATCTAGTTACCCACTCTGGAATTAAGGCGTACAGCTGCAACTTTTGTGGAAAAGGTTTCAGTGAAAAACAGTACCGAAATAGTCACCTACGCATTCACACTGAAAATGATGTTTCCTGCTGTGATCAGTGTGGGAAACTGTTTACAACAGATGCACAGTTACAACAACACATGTTTAGCCACACTGAGGAGAGACCTTATAAATGTGACCTGTGTGAGAAAACTTTTAAATCTCCACATCAGCTGAATAAACACCAACAGATCCACACCAGAAAGTAACTCTACAAGTGCAGTTACTGTGAGGATGTATTTACCTTTTTATCCTGTATTTTTAACCTGACTGTTTGGAACAAGTTTGATCAGTAAACTTACGGAGTTATACTGAATGAATTGTTTGGAAAATTGAAGAGTCATTTTTGTTCAGTAAGCTGAGTGTTATAATGTGAACAGTAAAAGTAATTGGACGTTGGCAGAGATGCTCTTTGTTTCAGGCGACATTCAGGATAAAAATAAACAAAGCAGAGCAACACAGATGGATCCAGTTCTCAGCCCTGTCGTCACTGGTGGTGGGAAAACGTTTCTTTGTAAGCTTTGTGGAAAAACTTCCAATCATCAACTGGACCTAAATCCACATCAACGTAGCCACACTGGAGACAAATGAACTACTGCAAAGAATGTGGGAGGGGCTTCCACACACCAAGTACATTAAAAATAAATGAACTCTTCCACAGTGGGGTCAAAAAGCACATCTGTGACCAGTGTGGGTCATCCTTCACCACTGGACGTGAGCTCAATGAAAAAGCATAAGGGAATCCACACAGGAGAGACACCATACAAGTGCAGACACTGTGACAAAAGCTTCTCCCAATCAGGTCATCGTAACAAACATGAACGTACACACATGGAAGTGAACTTCAGCTGTGACCAGTGTGACAAGAGCTTCAGGAATCTCAGTTCATACTCCGAACACAAACGATCCCACGCTGTAAATAAACTGTTTCACTGTTACCAATGTGCAAAAACATTCACTTCATTATCTGCTCTGTGCAAACATCAGCCTGATCATGCAGGACTGAAATCACTGGATCACAATGAATCTGAAGAGAGAGAAAGATCCTCTTCTGGTTTCAGGCTCAGACTTAAAAACCTTGAGATCAGGCTCCACAGAGTTCAGATGGAATCTCCTGTAAACAGTGTCAGCTGATGTCACACTTGGATCTGATGAGGTAGCTCTGATTTCTGGACCTGCAGTGAATAATCCTGAATGTTACATTTAGGAAGCTGCATGTATAGATATGCATAACAAGTTTGTTTTTTCCTTTGAGGGATTTTAATTCTCTAAAATGTTATCCCTGTTACATTTTAACCTTTGTTCCCTTAGGACGCAGTAGTGTTTAGTAGTTGTACTATTAAAGTTATAGGAATGTCTTTTCTTTCTTTTTTTTAACCAAACTGGTATTCTATCAAAAATCAAATATGGATATGTAAATCATTTCTTTTATTTGAACTTTTTTAGCTTTTCCAAAATTAACTTATTTTTTATGTATTCATTGCATGTTTCACCTCAGTTAAATTTCAATCCTTCATTCATATTTAAACTCTTGCTGTGGTAAAATCTTCTCTTAAATCCTTTTCTCCCAAAACAAGCAAATATTTTCACAGCAGTTGCTCTTAAAACTTCCAAAATGAACTAAATCTGTTCACCAGCTTTGAAACAACACTTTATTATGAAATTTATCAGTTCCCAGAGTCAGAACCAGACACGGAGAAGCTGCATTCAGCTTTTATGCTCCTTATATCTGGAACAAACTCCCAGAAAGCCTCAGATCAGCTGAAACACTCAGTTTATTTAAATCCAGGTTGAAGACTCACCTGTTCTCAGCTGCATTTGAATAAAGCACCAAATCCACACTTTTACGCTTAAATTTCAAAACTTACATTTAACTACTGATTTTATCTACTGTTCTGATTTTATCTGTTTTGATTTTATATACTGTTTTGTTTGTTTGTTTGTTAATTAGTTAGTTAGTTTATTTGCTTGTTTTAATCAATTTTAAATCATGCTTTTTATTTGTTTTTGTTTCTAATGTCTCTGTAAAGCACTTTGAATCACCTTGTTGTTGAATTGTGCTATACAAATAAACTTGCCTTGCCTTGCCTTGCCTTGCCTTTATGTCCAGAAAAAAGAAACTCAAGCTGAACTGGTTTTGGGCTGTATTTCCATGTAATACCTTTTTTTTCCCCAGAAGATGAAGCAGTGAGTCAGTGTAACCTTTATTTAATTAGGCAAAGAACACAATATTCACAGTGGCAGCAAAGAACTGTTAAAAGTTAAAAACAGCAGCACACATCAGAACCATTTTAAAGATCACAGGTGACTACTTTTAGTTAATTCAAATCCTATTAAACATCTATTTTTGGATCCTCCTTTCACTTTAGTGTATTTACTGTATCCTTGAAGTCCACGTTGTTTTTTTTAATGAATTCATTTTGATCCACATGTTCTGCAGCTGTTTTCCTTTTGATTTGAAGTTTGCATTATGAAATCCTGATACTGTTAAAGCATCAGTTATATTTGATGAACTCTGTGTAAAGTTTATTAAACAGTTTGGTGTGAAAAATAAAGAAATGGTCTCACAGCAAGTAGTTTGAGCCATGATTTCCGATTCAAACTAATTTAAATGTTTTCAGTGGTACATGTGGAGGTTTATCAGAGGAGGAGACTTGGCTGCTCTCGGCACGGTTCCTGCAGCTCATTAAAAACTGAAATGATCTTCAAGGAAAAGATGATTAATTTTTCTTAAAAACAAGATGTGGGCATGAAGTTTTAACATGAGTGTGTTTAAGATGCATTGTGATTAGCATTTCACACGTTCCAATAAAGCAGATGTTCCTGCATTGCAACAGTAGTTTGCAGATGTGTTCATCCCCCAACCATCTGCAAGACTCTCATGCAGCACCAATTTGAAACGCAGCCTGGAAAGTGCGTTCATGGCCCTACAGGTTGCCTAAGCACAAGAGACAAATTGTGCAAAAGGAATTGGCTGAAATGGTGAAAATGCTGTTATCAGAGGATGAAATGAGGATTTGTTCCTCAGTGTTTGGTCTCCTATGCTTACCTTTTCTCCAGATGATTTGTCGCAGTTGAGAGGGGCCAGTTGTCTTTAAGGTGCTTCCAGGTAATTAAGAAGTGAGTGCAGGGTTTGTACCATTCATCACACTTCTGTTAGGTTTGTTTGAAGACTCGGGCATTTTTCAGCACCTGCTGTAGCGATAGCTGCGTCCTCACACTGCATATGCTGTTTGCCACCTGGATGATGTTGTCATTCATAGTGATACCACGGTGGAGCATGTGCAGTGGGTGGTCACAGTCCCTAAAGTGTGTGGTTGGATGGAGGGACGTACAGTATTTGGGTACAATTTGGGAGCTGGGTATGTGCATCCACACATGGATAAAACAGCAGCCATCGCATCCTGCCTGTGTCCCAACGCAAAAAAATAACATCCTGATAATAATGAATTACAATATTCCCGACAAGAAGAAATAAATGCATGAATGAGTTTTTCAGCATCACTCTGGGACAGGATATTTCTGATTTTCAAGATATTGCAGCAATGGAAGAAAGCAGTCATAAATATTGGCTTAATATTTCCATTAAAGGAGAAATCCTGGTCAAAATGACTCTAAGATTCCATATAGTGTTACTGGAGGCCAAGGTATTGCATCCAGAAAAGGATAAAATCCGTAGCTGTTGATAAAATTGGCACAGAGCTTCCCCCATGCATTACCAAAGATTCACATCAAA